GTGTTTATTTTTTGACTAATGTTTGGAGTTTTTAGAATACTGATTATGTGATTATAGTTTGTTTTCATTTGATTTAGGACCATTTCCTTTAAATAAAGGGGCTGGTTTAGGACCGGCATTTTATATTTTCTTTTTCTGTTTGTTTTTTTGTTTGCAGGAGCTGCAGCAGGAGAAAAAACAAAATGGATTTTTGTATTGCTTGCTGAAATAGAAAGAATAAACCCGGACGTCTTTTGTCTCTTTAAGAAGTATAGACACAATGCAGTCTGACTGTAAGACCCCTGATGTTTAAAAGCTTGGTTTGACAAACAATTGAATTTCCACTACAGATTTCATTATAGAAGCATCTTTTCTAGTTTCAATGATTTTCAGACATATGTGCTAGATGTGGTTTCTCTTTACCCTCTTGGTCACGTCTTAAAAAAAACTTCTATCCAATTAAAAACCTGTGGTATTTATCTTTTTCAGGAAACAAATAGATTTTCCAGGGAGCTGAATCATAGCATTGAACCAAGATTCAAGGACTCCACAAATGACGTCAAACAGGGTAGAAAAAGAACTAAAACTACTGACAAACAAGCGAGAAAAGTGTTTTTACTAAATTACTTTCATTTCTGGGAGACTTTGGTTCGAAAGAAAAACATATTTCTGTATTACTGCAAAAGAGATGTCCAACCAACTCGCATCACCTTACATTGCATCATGCTACACTGCTGGAGAGAACATGAGGAAATAGTGATCGATCACACCAATTTTAGGAAAGACCAATTTATCCAGTCCTTTTTTTTCAAGTTACATATTTAAGGTCAGGACTCAGAAGGTAGACATGTCCTAATTCAGTTCAATTAAATTTGTATTCAATTTATTTATAAAGCGTCATGTGATCTCAAGGCACTTTACAGAGACAATTCAATCAGATCGTATAGTAAGATTGGTTCAACGTTTTCTATCTAAAGAAAACCAGCTGATTGCATTGACAGCAAGCATGCATATAGCGACAGCGGAGAGGAAAACTGCAGAGGCCGACTGGGGTTCAAGGAGACAGAGGCAGACATACAGAAATAAGCAAAGACACAAAAGGAAAACTCTCAATCCGTTCCACAGGCGGCGGCGTCCAGGAAACACAGCCAGGCAGACGAGCTCCGAGCCAGCTCCCATGTCAGAGGATGAAGAGAGCACATCCAGTTAGTCACAGTCAGAGAAACAGGACTACACTGGAAAACAGGCCAAGCTCCAACATCTAGAAACAAAGGTGTTGATGGCAGCAGCACAGCTGATATTTGTCTCCAGGATGGAGTCACAGCCAAACAGGAACAGACCAGATGAAGCTACTATGATGAGAAAAGAGCATAACGTTAGAGGCTAAGCTAAACAATTCTGCAGAATGGGAGAATAGAGATAGAATGAAGCAGAATGATTAAAAAAGGGGTCCCTATGTCCTCCAGCTGTCTAAGCCTATAGCAGCCTACTGCAAAAAATTTTAATCTTAATAAGTCATTTTTTCTTAAAATAAGTGCATTTTGTCTTGAATTGAGGAGGTAAGTGAGACACTTTGCCAATGGAACAAGACAATTTACATTTAAAATAAGAAAAAACAGTTGCATTGTCTTATTTTAAGTGCATATTATCTAATTATCTTATTTTAAGAGTAAAAATACTAATTTCATTGGCAGATCATCCTGTTTAACTACTGAAATTAAGGGTAAATACACTTAATTTAAGAAATGTTTTACTTATTTCTAGATAGTTTTTGCAGTGCATAACTATAGAGATAGATCAGGATAACCTGAGCCACTCTAACTAGAAGCTTTATCAAAAAGGAAAGTTTTAAGCCTAGCCTTAAAAGTAGACAGGGTGTCTGCCTCACGGACTAAAACTGGTAGTTGGTTCCACAGGAGAGGAGCCTGAGAACTAAAAGATCTGCCTCCCATTCTACTTTTAGAAATTCTAGGAACCACTAGTAAACCTGCAGATTGAGAGCGAAGTGCTCTGTTAGGAACATAAGGAACAATCAGATCTCTGATATCAGATGGAGCTTGGCCATTTAAGGCTTTATATGTGAGAAGGAAGATTTTAAATTCTATTTTGAATTTAAAAGGAAGCTGTGATGGTTACACACAGTAATTGATCATAGTCATATCCACATTCGAATTCTTAATAAAGACTATCAAATGAAGACCAGGCTGCCCATCTGCTCTCAGTGCAGCTCCAGAAATCCCTGAAGGATGCTGGCAGACATGTTTGATAAGACTCACAGCACGGCAGAAGTCTGGCAGAATGTCAGATTTAATTCCTGAGCTCTTTCTGTCTTAAGGTCGGAGGGAATCTTCGGCTTTGTGTGGAATGCATGCAAAGACGTGCCAGTCGACAGATGCTCAAAGGTGGCAGTATCAGTAATCCCTGAAGTGACTCCCAAGAATCAAACTGTGCTGCAGGAAACAATTAAACTCAACTTCACACTCAGACACATTACGTATTTCAATCACACTTTGACCTTTGAAATGCATGAACAAAATCTCATTTAGAAGAATTCAGACCACAATCATGTGTCTATTTCGCAGAAGCTTGTGTCTGCTGTTTGGAACAAATGGAAGAAAGAGAAGAAGAACTTTTAATTCTCTTTTAAATTATTAAGGAAATGAGGTCCACTTTCAAACAGATGCTATTAAATACAATAAAAAACTATGAGCTAATCAGAGGTGAATGCAGACCTGGATGATGAAAGCAATTAAAAGGAGGTTAAAAACTGAAGAAATCTTAGACTGCTTTGACGACTAGGCCCATATGAATATGCTGGTGAAGATTCTCAGTCATCCAGGTCATAGTCATTGCAATACCCGATGCTGGGCTGGAAGCTCAGAGGCGTAGCCCAGTACTGGGTATAACAGGCTAACAAAGAACCCATAACGACTCCCCATTCCTAATGGACGGACCTGTTCTTCTGGTTAGATTTGCATGTTTTCTAAGCCAAAACAAGTTTTTGGGGTTACTATTTAAAGCTTAGAACTAAACGCTAATTCTGATATTTTAAATTAGAAAAAGATAAGAAGCGAAACGCCTTTAAACTTTGAAACCAAGTCCAGTGGATTGTTTTTTAACCATATGAATGTGCAGCAAACTGAAAAAGTACTGCAAATATGAAAATTATACTAACACACAAAACCAATGCAAAAGAGAAAATCCTGCCATCACAGCAAATAGCAATGTGCAAATGAACTGCTAATATGAAAAACTGCCTGTGGAGGAAAAAAGCTGCAAAATAAATTGTTAAATTCAATCCAGTTTTGCGTTCAACGCAATTATTCCATTGAGCTAGCCTGCTGCTAGCTAACAGACAGGCACTACAACAGTTGCAGTTGTATATTTCTAATCGATTTCAACATGTGAGGGCAATAATGCATTTTCCTCTTTAAAGCCATGTACAACTGAGGTCCCACAAGGGTCCTTTCTGGGAACCTTGTTTTTTAGCATCTATATAAATGATCGTCCTGCTGTGTGCAAAGATGTAGACATCATCATGTATGCAGATGATGCTGTCATCTGGGTACGTGGAAGGAGAGTAAAGTAAGTGATACTTGAATTGTCATTATTAATGGATAAGCTAATTCTTCATTCTTAACATTAAACATATAAAAATGTGGGGATGTATTTTTTCAAGACAAATGAAACTAAAGAAATTCCTAACATTTAAACAGGAAAAAATAAACATTGTAACAGAGATAAAATATTTAGGGATTCATTTAGATCAAACCATGAGCCGTAACTTCATCACGTATAATTTATCGTCATGTAGACATATCAGAAATAGCTTAAAAACTGGAGCATCTTTTACACACTCAAATGCTATGATCAATCCTCACCTTACTGATTGTTTGTCTTGCTGGTGTCAGGCTAATGAGACAACACTCAAAAACCTCTCCATTTCCATCACTGTAATACCCTGAGTAAATACAAAATCCTCAGCTTTGGTCATTAAATCTAGGATACGAGTATAAGAAGTCTTTAAAGGTCACATATTATTCTACCTTTTAAAATAAAGAATATTAACAGTGAAGCCCCCAGAGCATGTTTCTGCCACTTGTGCAGGAAAATTCCTCTCAGATTAGGCGGACAACCTTTTCCAAAAATCTCCTTATCCTGCCCTCCTCTGGACAAGTTTTTTAGTTCTCCATGCCCCCTCCTCCCAAAGGTTGTGCCCCAAAAACCCGCAACCATGACAACAAATCAGAGTTCGTAAAGAATTCCCCTTAATGCATCATAAGGGGAATTCTTCATCCTTTACCTTCCATCGGTTGGACAGACATCACAAATGTCCCTCTTTGGCCAGCAACACACCACTCGTTGGGGATTGCCAATCTCCTGGGATATTCAAACAGAACTGTCTCTATATGTAGCTTAATCTTGGTGTATCCTTGTGAATCTTTTTTTAGACAGATTTAGCTTCGTATCTATTTGGCTAAAAAAAAAAAAAAAAAAAAAAAAGGTCAAAAAAGGAAAAATCTTGGGTAAGGGGAAGATGTGTTAACAATGACCCCTTACTGTTCTCAGGGGATACATTATTATTATTTATTAATTGTTAAAACAAACTTCACAGTACAGTATTTTATTGTTTACCTTTTAACTCTTCATTATTATGTTACTCTTATACATTTTTCTAAAGTTCACATTTATGTGACCATTTTTTTTCTATAATCTTTTTGCTGCTGTAAACACCAGATTTTCCCCATTGTGGGACAATAAATAAATATTCTATTCTATTCGATTCGATTCTATTCTATTCTGCTCTAATTGTAAGTGCTCACACATATCTCTTTACCACCATCTAGTGGCTACAGAACAAAATTGCACCGTGTAAAAAGACGGAGCATCAAGTTTTGCCCTTTCTAAAACGAGATTTATTTAGTAAAATGTGCGTGATATTACCGCGAGGGGTTTCTATGTTGTCCTGAGATACAATAGCAACGTGAGAAGTAAATAAAAACATTATTATACCGCATTTCTATTTTTACGTCAGTTGCTTTTGGGTTACGGCAGGAAATTTCTTGTGCTTCGTCGTGTTTCGTCACTTCCTTTCACACCGGCTCGCTGTCGACTTTTACATCGTAGTAGCACCGGTTGGATTTAATCTCTCGACAAAGGGGTTACAGCTAAAGGTAAACATTGAATACATCAGTACAAGCTCTGAAGGATGCACAGTTTACGTTGATTTGACCTAAAAATGTTGAGAATCTCTCTAAGGTGTCTGTAGTTAATATGCTAGTTAGCTTAGCATTGCTAGTAAGGGCCACCTGGCATGCTGACCCGCCTTAGCTGAGACCAAAATGTGTTAAAATTTACATTTTTTTAAAGGATGTTACAACTAATACGGTTGAAACTGACATATGTTTGCAAATCAACACATTAAAGGCTACATTCGAGCAATTAAATAAAACAATTAACGGAGTAGGTTATAAAAAGTAATTTTTAAAGTGGAAAAAAACGGTTTGATTGTCCATTAGGAACAACAATGAGGATGGATATTAAACAGGAGAATCAACCAAAATGAATGTTTTATTTCAGTCTCATTCTAAGAAGGTCTGATCTTGATTCAATTAAAATAAAGAATAAAAAAAACATAAAGTAAACTTTATTTATCTCCCAATGGAGAAATCAACTGTCTGCATCTAACCCCTCCCCTTTGAGGAGCATTGGGCTGCCACTGTGCAGCGCCCCACAGACTTCCACTCTGTGTTTCGAACTCGCAACCTCAGGATTCCAAGCCCTAACCACTATCCACCTATTTATATTAGGATTTAAAATCAGTTGTTGGGGTTTAAACGTTGCAGTCATTGAACAATATTTGCTGTGTTTGTGGTTCTTACTCAACCTCTACAAAGTCCGGAGCGTTTAAATAATCTCAGAATTTAAAAAAGTTTTGCCATACTTTTTTCCCCCAGGCATTTTATCCTATTTTTTTAACCATTATTGTGCCCAAAATTAAGACTCTCCCGCCTTAGGCTTAAACTAAAAGCAGCATTATGTATGTTTTCTTTTAATAGGTAGAATAAGAAAAATAAAAATGCCCTGCTTGCTTCCGTTCATCCATATTTGTCAATGATTCATCCTTTAATCCTCCTGTTAATCCTTCCTCCACCCTGTCTCTATCTGTCCATCACTTTATTGGGCAATTATTCTGCACCCGATTTAACCCTTTCTGTAGGGATATCATCTTTTTTTTATTTTATATACGATACTGAAGTTAACCACACATGGTATCAGCACGAATCACACACGTTTTTATTTTGCAGTGTTTAATGTTAGAAAAGGCTTGCTCAAGTTTTCTTTCACCGATCAATTGTCTGTCACTCATCCTTTCATCCATCCTCTATCAGTTCATCCACCCAGCCCTCCATCTCCGTCATTTCTCTGACCCAACCTCAGATTTTATCCAGTTTTATAATGCATCTATCCACTGTTTACATATCTTTCATTGAAAAAAAAAATTTAAAGAACAGATTTTTTCTTTTGACCTAATTAAAGAGACAGCTTTATTATTTAACTGTAAAAATGTTGTGAAACATAAAAGCTAATCTGGTTGGGGTTTTTTTCTGTCTATAATAATTAGCTAAAACATCACTAAAAATCAGAAACAACTTTTCACAAATTGATCCATCATTTTTCATTGTTTATTTCCCTGTAGCTGGGCACTTTTTATAGCCACCAATGCAGCCACTTCAACCCAAACTGCTGTAACTGGATATTTACGCAAAACTCATCTGTAGTTTTAAAAAAAATTGTTGGAAGCTATCATTTTTGCTAAGTAGAAAATAAAGTTGCCACTGGTCTTTTGTTTAATTAATCTAAGGTTAAATAACGGTAATTAAAATCAAACAAAACAAGAACGGATAACAAATGGAGGAAACTCAAATTTATGGGTGTAATCTTAAGGCATGACAGCACTGGGACTTGATCAACAGCCGATACCGTGACGTCACAAACCAGTAGGTGGCAGTAGTGTTCTTTGACAAACATGGATGCCTCCAGTAAAGCACATTCAAATGAAAATTACTCTTAATTAAAACACATTTCTTTCACAGTATGTAATAATAATAATTTCGTATTTTATGTACTTTCAGAAGTTTAAATTCTGAATATGACCCAACTTTTCCTTTAAGGACCAGGTAATTTGCCATGAGGGGTCGGATTCCACCTGCAGGCTTTGAGTGTGATGTGTGTGCTCTAGAGGGAAGTTATCAATTAATTGGATGGAATACATTTAATTCTAATAAACAAATAATCAACATGATTAATGTTGATTATTTGTTTATGTTGCTTAAGAAAAATGTATAAAACATGAGGAAATGCATCAATTGGTCTTCATCTTTTTCTGGGGTCAGTGATGATTAGCCCACTGCGCAATCTGATCAATGCTCGCCATCTCTGAGGGCATTGCTGGAGAAAACAGTGCTGCTTCTATCTGAGACCATGTTTTACTCAAACTAAAGCTGAATTAGTGCAGAGGGACAGTCGGCTTAATGTTCTCTCTGTTTTCTCCTCAGGTCATGGCAAAGTTTCACGCCCCTGTGATCCAGGACAACCCGTCCGGATGGGGCCCCTGCGCCGTTCCAGAGAAGTTCAAAGACATGCCCTACCAGCCTTTCAGCAAAGGAGACCGTCTGGGGAAGGTTGGTTTCTGCCCAACGTTCCCAGTCTGATAAACCAGATCCGTTCGATTCCTTACTCTGTGTTTGGGTGGTTTTGGTTCTGACAGGTCGCTGACTGGACCGGAGCCACGTACCAAGACAAGAGATACACCAGTGAGTGAAACAGCCGGCTGAAACATCTGCTTCACGATGACGAGATATTTATACTGTTACTGATCATTGTTGGGCGTTTCTCCTGTTATCCTCAGATAAATATTCTTCTCAGTTCGGCGGCGGCAGCCAGTACGCCTACTTCCACGAGGAGGACGAGACGAGCTTCCAGCTGGTGGACACCGCTAAGACTCAGAAGACGGCCTACCAGAGGAACCGCATGCGGTTTGCTCAGGTAACCCGGGTCACCACAGAACCGGTTCCCTGTCATTATGCTGTTCTTCATCAGAAGGGTCCTTGTTTCCACAGAGGAACCTTCGCAGAGACAAGGATCGCAGGAATCTCACTCAGTTCAACATGCAGACGCTCCCGAAGAGCGCCAAGCAGAAAGAGAGGTGAGATCCGGAGAATCCGGGTTTTATGGGTCATTTGCAGTTAAAAAACTTTGATTACATCATCTTCATGCTCTGCAGGGATCGTATGCGTCTGCAGAAGAAGTTCCAGAAGCAGTTTGGCGTCCGTCAGAAGTGGGATCAAAAGTCTCAGGTAGTTATTTTTACTGAAGCTAAAGAAACAAAAAAGAAAATAAAAAAAGGCACATTTCAGTTCTGAAAACATCAGACTAAAATAACATCAGTCAGATTAACGTATTAAACACTATGTTAGCATTTCATTTGTAAAGTTGTTATTCTGCAGCTGATTCTATATAACAATTCATTTCATCACACAGCAGAGTTACGTAATGCTCAGATCGGATCATTTTCCTCATCACTAGAGGAAATAAACACTTTGCTCTCCTTTTATTTTGTAAACCAGACTAAATGTGAGATAAAAGGTGTAATTAAGTCTGGCCTCGATGAATGGGACGTCGGAAGATTGTTAATGAGAACAACCCGTTGTTTTTCAAACCATGTCTGTGCCTATTGGCCAACGCTCTGACCAATGAGCGCCACTGACTATGACGTAGGAAGCGCAACAGGAAGCTGGTGGGGGAGTGTAAACAAACAGCCTGTCGGTAAAACGGCGAATATGTCCTTCTTAAAAATGAATGAGCGTACGTTCTGTAAAAGTTAAAAAAACAATCCACTGGACTTGGTTTCCAGGATTTGAAGACGTTTCGCTTCCCCTCCAGGAAGCTTTCTCAATTCAAATGTCTGGATCCGCAGTAAGTTGAGTCTTTATATAGACAAGGCCTTGTATCGCTTGGAAACATGCAAATAGAAACCGACGAGCGGTTCGTTTGGTTGTTAGCCTGTAAAATCTGAAACCTTTCTATGATTCTGAAGGTCAGTCGTTAAAGGGGGGGTGGGGGGGGATTGTCGTTAACGTTTTTTTAAAATTGTTACAGAATGACTATGACCTGGATGACTGAGAATCCTCATCAGCAATGAGCGTAGAGCCTCTTTCTGCTCACGTTTCAACGAAAACACCAAGTCTAATCCTCCCAAACTGATTCCAAAGCTGAGTCAAACGAGAACTGTTCAATAGTTTTGCATCCAGAAATTCAAATCATCTCTGCGTTGTGATTGGCCCGCTGCGTCTAGGGCCTGGGGCATTGATCGAGGCTAGATCACTCGCAGGCAAAAATGATTTTGGCCGCTGGTGGGTGGGGCTAGTTTACTCGGCTAACATTTGTGCTTATTTAAAAAAAAAAAAACGCAGGAGCTTAATCCAGATATTATATGAAATATTGAAAATAAACTATATAAAAACGAATTAAAGTGCAATAAAATACATGAGCCTTCTTAAAATCCCTCTAAACAGCTCATTGTATGTAGCTTTCCGTTGTTGGACGTCCACCCGTCTTTGGGGAACCCAACAGAAGGTTTCTGACTTTTTAGCAACAGGTTTAGTTTTTTTCTGCTCTTATAGATGAGGCTCGGACAAAATGATCCATTTTTCAATCGCTATCAGTTAGAAGTTATTTTCTTTAATTGGAAACTAGGGGGTTTTACGTTCCAGATAAGTTTTCTTTGTTTGAGGGGAATTTTTTGCCACCAGGCTCAGCTGAAGCCCAGAGACTCGTCTGTGGAGGTGAGGAGTGACTGGGAGGTGAAGGAGGAGATGGACTTCCCTCGACTGATGAAGATGAGATACATGGAGGTTTCTGACCCTCTGGACATGTAGGTGGAGCCGAACCGTTTGTATTTTGACCGGCTGGAGGGAAACCCTTTGACTTTGGTTTGTGTTCCCGGCAGTGAGTGCTGCGGTGCTTTGGAATATTACGACAAGGCGTTCGATCGGGTCACCACCCGAAACGAGAAGCAGCTGAAAAGCATCAAGAGGATCTTCCACACCGTCACCACCACCGACGATCCGGTCATCAGGAAGGTAGGCCGTCCGTCCCAGAACAGGTTCTGTTATTAAAAAGAAGCGTGAGGTCACAGCAGTCTGCCCCCCCACCCCACAGCTGGCTAAGACTCAGGGCAACGTGTTTGCCACCGACGCCATCCTGGCCACGCTGATGTGCTGCACGCGCTCGGTGAACTCGTGGGACATCATCGTGCAGAGAGTCGGCAACAAGCTGTTCTTCGACAAGAGAGACAACTCGGACTTTGGTGAGACTTGGACCTGTGTTACTCTGCTGCTGTTCATGCAAACCTATGAGAGGATGAAGTACAGGCCATGTTTTAGAGATCATCAGACCGGACGTCCTCGCTTTTCAGGTGTTGAAGCAAACAGCAGGCAGCTTAATGCTTCTAATTAGGGCGACATGGCTTTAACATCTAATCCCCTTTTCTTTTCTTCTTAAGTTGTATAAAGAAAAATGACATGACTTTCAAAAACAGTTTTTATGTCCATCACCTCATCTGGGAAGGGACATTTTTACAGGGTTCCCACGGGTCCTTAAAAAGTCTTAAAAGGCATTGAATTCTTCAAAACAAAACTAAGGCCTTAATTGGTATTAAAATATCTTAAATCAGTCTTTCGTAGGTCTTAATTTTTAAAACATCATAAATAGGATTATTGGTATTACGATTTATTTTTGTAATCTAAATAAAAGGTTAAAATTGACAATTTTTATTTTATTATTTTTTTAAATTAAAAATAACAGCTCGCCATTATCGGTTCTGTCCTGATAGCGGAACCAATAAAGCGTTGTTGCGGCCGGGACATTTGGGAGATGCGCCATTAACTTTTTGTCTAGAAAATATGAGCAAGTGTAAATGTAACCAAAATTGTCTCCAGCCAAGAGTTTTCTCCATGGCTAAAACCAGGGAACATACATGAGGCTCAGTGGATTTAGTGCAAGAAGTCATTCAAGCTCAGAACGATGGGAATTAAGGCAGTGGAGTCGCACATGCGAAGCACGAAACACAAAGCGTCAAAATGGAGTTACAGAGAAACAGCCGGTATTTCTCAGTTTAGTTCCACCCTTGTCTCTGCAACGCCTCCACTTATCACCAAATCAAACATACTAAGAAAACCATACAAAGAAAAATAGCTGCAAAAAAGACTTAGCACTGGTTATGTTGGGGCTTTAAAACTGATTTGTTTTGTTCCCTGCTAAAACAAAGTTTGTGAATTCAGTTAAATAATTGTTCAAATATATCTGTCATTTGTGTGTTTTTAGCTTTCTTCCTGTATGGGAAGCTTTTCAACATTTGAAACATTAGTGCAGTGGTTTATGTTAGAATAAACCTTTGGGTTAAGTTGTAGCAAGCAGGTTTTTCTTGTGTTTCTTGTGAATTTGGTCTTAAATTTTTATATCAAGTGGCATTAAATAGTCTTAAAAAGTCTTGAATTTAACTTGTCTTATGCTGTAGGAACCCTGTTCTCATTGTTGGGCCAGCTGAATAACCAAACCTGCACATGTAATTCTCTCCTTTGCCACAAGAGGTCAGCGATGTAACAGGAAAAGCTGAAACATAAAAAACATGTCAAATAAAATATGAAGTAATTTCTGACAAACCTTTCATTTATTCTGATTTAAAAACTTCTGGAGCATTCAGGTTTTCTTTTAATAAATTTAAATTTCATTAAAATAATTTATTCATGTTTTCAGTTGCTAATTTCCGCCTGGCTCATATGAGAATTCTTTGAAAAGTCCTTGAATTTGAACCTGTTGGATCCATTCTAAGATCTCAGGAGACTTGGACCGTTTCTCAATATGTGTACTTGTGCGTTCTTGTGTGCTTGTGAAATGTCATCAGCCTCAGCCCTAGTATTGTTACACAAGCAGACCGAGAACGGATAAAGACCTCGAATGTTGTTCTCTCCCCTCCGTCTTTACCACGCATGCATCAGAGCAGACTTGTCCGTTGTTTAGATTGAAAGCTGTCCCAGTATGCACTGCGGCAGTAGCAGCTTTCAATGGAGCGATCACAGAGTTTAAAAGTTTAAAGTTCTCTTTTCTGTTGCTGTTGTTCAATAAAAGTACGTTTTAAGATGATTTGAGGCAAGACTTTTATACTTTAAAGCGTCACTATATGGTCCGTTTAACGATTTAATACGAAGTTGAGAGCAACCAGTGGGCTAGCGTCAACGTTAGCCCGTCTGCAGCAGCCCTATCTAGGCATAGCCGTGTGATGGCGAGTTTTTTGTTTTATTTAGCAAAATGTTGATTTGATTTGTCTTAATCTGACTGTGTTTATTATTATTCCCCCACTGAATGATAAAAGTAAGAATTTATTATCTAGAAACTATTAATAACAGGAGGTGAAATGCAGCACCAGACGAGCAGAGCGTGTGGTGATGTCATCAGTACGCTTCTGTTCCAATTGGCCCATTTTTATGTTGTGTGCTCCCGTTCTCACCAAGTCCAGACTTTCCTGTGTTCTTGTCAAGAACATACTTGGCGAGAACACGAGTCCAGATTCGTGTTCTTGTGTAAAGAGAAACGGCCTAAATAAGCTCTGAGACTGACTCCAGGTTAGATCCAGTCTCTCCTGGACAGAGAAGCTTCTGTTACTCATTCTTTTATGTTGAACTGGTTTTAATTAAACTCGATTTGTTGGACAAACCAGTTGTCAGGATTCTGCAGCTCCTAGCATTTAATTGAGCAGTGGATTCTTTTATTTATTCTTTTTTTTGTCACATGCTTGTTTGATGGGTCAGTAATTGAAACAGATTTTTTTCATTTTAGTTCATGGTGTTGTTCTTGCTCTTCTTTCTGTTCCTCTCAGATCTGCTGACTGTGAGCGAAACGGCCAACGAGCCGCCGCAGGATGAGGGAAACTCCTTCAACTCTCCTCGTAACCTGGCCATGGAGGCCACCTACATCAACCACAACTTCAGCCAGCAGTGTCTACGCATGGTAAGCTGCAGCGCTCACGTCCGCTCCGTCCTCATTTACTGCCTCGTTCTGAAAATGAAGCCGTTTTTGTCCTCCGGATTCAGGGTGCAGAGAGGTACAAGTTCCCAAATCCCAACCCGTTTGTGGAGGAGGACATGGACAAGAGTGAGGTGGCGTCTGTAGCCTACAGGTAGGGAGCTGAGGTTTTTGTTTTCAGTGGGAGGATCTTAATTTTTGGTACATTAGAGAAATAATAAGCCATCCTGTGATTCAGGTACCGCCACTGGAAGCTTGGAGAAGACATCGACCTGATCGTCCGCTGTGAACACGATGGGGTGATGACTGGAGCGAACGGAGAAGTGTCCTTCATCAACGTCAAGACTCTTAACGAGTGGGACTCCAGGGTAGGAGGTCACACCGGGGCCTCAGGTCCTACACTTTAGTTTTTTAATGAAAAAAAGCTTCAAATCAAGGATGCAAGTCATCGAAAAATTAAAATTGAGTGATTTTTAGAGGTGAAACAATTGGATTAATTGTGATTAATCGATTATTGAAATAATCAACCAACTTAGTAATCGATTAATCGTTAACTGAAGTATAGAGACTCTAAAACAGACCATTAGCTAAACAAACTGACACACTTAGAGCATTAATTATACCAAAATTTTAAAAATATAGAAACATTTTACCTTTAAGATAAAAAAAACTTCGTTGTCTATCCAGAAATCATGTGGAAAAGCTCTGGCTCGACCTGGTTTGATTCTTTAAATAATTTACTTTTAAGGAACCTTTTGCTGCCTGATTATTAATCTAATTATCATAAAAATAAATAACAGATTAAACAATTAACACAACAATTGTTAGTTGAACCGCTATTGATCTTATTGATTAACTAATTATATAAAAAGTTAAAAGTAAAAAAGTATAACATATTAATTTTGTTGTGACATTTTATTAAATACTGACTAAATAAACACAACATTTAACTTCAGGTTTAACAAAGCAGGAACTAGGTGAATCCAAAAGATCAAGAACACGTACAGAAATGTAAAGCTGTCATTAATGAACAGGGTATGTCGCTCAGATACTGTCAGACTGTTGCTTCTGTGTTTCAGTCAAGCGGAGGCTAACATGGATGTAGCTCTGACTTTAGTCTAATCCAGCAGAGACTTTGTTCTGTTAGCAGCCCTTTTCAGAGGGACGTTCTGGTTCTGTTTCTCTGAGGAATGTTAGAACTTGAACTAATGAAGTTAAAGCTTCACCTTCTACTGTGTTTATTTCTAGCAGTTTCAGTCTTTCCACTGGTGTTACATATATTCTCTGGCAAAAACAGGCAAGGTGCTGCTTTAGAATGTACAGCTGCGCCCTCTAGTGGACGGCGGCAACAATACAAGGAATTACTTCTAAAGTCGGGCATATACTGTACCATATTTTAATCGTCGTATGCAGCTACAGCTCACACTATATGATAAAACCACAGGGTTTAAAAGTTCACAGCTCACAATGTTTGTTCTCACACTGTGCGACCCGACGCTCACTAGAGTGAAACACGCTGCCTTGGTTATTTGTGCAATTTTGTGCTGAAAGCTCTAAAAAGAAAAGCCGACGACAAAAACATGGCTGAGCAAACGTGGCTACTACGCTCTGTCAATTTTACAGTCAGAACTGCATTTCATTTGTTGCACCACCGCCATGCGTCTGTGTTTCGTCTGAGAGGAAGAAGAAGAATCCTTGTTTGACTCCTGAGCAATTTGTCCACAACCATCTTACGACGGCTTACATGTTTGATTTTCTCTTGATTCCTGGTCTCGATTCCCCACGACCACCTTCCTGGGGAGGTGGTCGTGGGGGGCTGATCGCCTCTCGTTACCGCCTGTACACTATACGACGTACGATCAGGCTGAAAGTCGGCCCAATACAAAAATTCTTGTACGACTGGAGGTTCAGCCCGAAAACAGTAAAAAAAAAAAAAAAACGTGCAGTGTATGCCCGGCTTTAGCAGAGGCTGTGAGTTAAAAAATTTCCCCACTTTCCTTAAAGGGGCCTTTGACTGGTCCTTGTTTGGTCCCCTACAGGCCCTATTTAAACATCTAAAATATTCTTTCTGTCTTGATTTGTGGACATGAAGATCTAAAGAGAAGCGTCATCTCCTGGTCAGATCCTGTAAAACAATATGCACACCTAGAAGAAGGCCAGTTGGAAGTTGGAGGGGATTTTGAAGCCATTTTGAATGGCTGCTTCTATACGTGACGATTAATCATAAAGCCTTTTTAGTGTCCCTACTGTAAATATGTAGAGAGTTAATAAAGTAATGCAGTAATAATTCTGTAAACACATGGATTGAATAGAAGATAAAATGGCCGTCTCTGTGGTTTGGTTGATCCTCAGTATTGTAACGGAGTGGATTGGCGTCAGAAGCTGGACTCTCAGCGAGGCGCCGTCCTCGCCACCGAGCTGAAGAACAACAGCTACAAACTGGCTCGTTGGACCTGCTGTGCCATGCTGGCTGGATCCGAGTACCTGAAGCTTGGGTGAGGAACCTGAATCAGCTTCGTTCTTTCACAGGGTTCTCTGTGTCCGGCTCTCACCCACTGCACTGAAGCCCAGAGGAGCTCCATAAAAGATAAAAAATTTTTTTCTCCTAAATCAATCATATGAACGATTTAGGAATACATTTGTTCGTAAGAACGATTCTGATTATAAAGGCTGCCATGTTGCTGTGGAGTCTGCAGTTGAGCTGGACGCAGCTTAAATTTAGGACAAGCTTTGAAGGCATTTCATTGGTCCTCTGTCCTAAATGACTCTGCTCTCCAGGTACGTCTCTCGTTACCACGTGAAGGACTCTTCTCGCCACGTCATCCTGGGAACCCAGCAGTTCAAACCAAACGAGTTTGCCAGCCAGATCAACCTGAGCATGGAGAACGCCTGGGGAATCCTCCGCTGCGTCATCGACATCTGCCGCAAGCTGGATGAGGGCAAATACCTGATCCTGAAGGACCCCAACAAGGTGAGTCAGCAGAGGAGCCGCCGGCAGGGGTTTAGCTGCCGCTTCTGACTAACCTGACTCCGCCAGATGGATTTGCTCCGCATATCCATCTGGAAACCTTCCGTTGAAGTAATTTTGGGAAGAGACGAAAATACTGGTTAGCTGATTGGCCTATGTTGGTGATAGACGGGCCAAATAAACCAATCAGATCAACGAAGCATATGACGTACTAACAGCCAGGCTACTCTTGCTGAAAGAGAAGAGCAAAAACATCTTTTCCTCTGAGAAAAGCCTCCAGAGCAGTGTTTTGCTCTTCTTTCAGTGAAGAAATACTCTGTAATCCCGATAAAACTTGCTCGATAGCCACGCTAACGCTAGTTTCATCGGCTGAAGCCGCCGTGTTCTTTAGACTGAACTGTCGCGCTTCTCGTTGCGTCACACCTCAACCCGCCTCAAAGCCAACGCTGATTGGACGTTCGTTTGGTGAACGGCTCCAAACTTTCTTTAACGGAGAGTCTCCAGACTGATTAGCGAGTGAAATCTTGAAAGCTCACAAGATCAGGATGGTCTCACGGGGCTAGCTTCTGACTGCTTTGGTTTGTCTTCAACAGCAAGTGATTCGGGTTTACAGTCTGCCTGAGGGAACCTTCAGCTCTGACGAGGAGGAGGAGGAAGAGGAGGATGAAGAGGATGAGGAGGAGGAGGGTAAGCGAACCAAAGGATTTCATCTACACTGCAAAAAATTAAATCTTGATAAGTCATTTTTTCTTAAAATAAGTGCATTTGTTCTTGAATTGAGGAGATAAAAGAGACATCTTGACAATTGAACAAGACAATTTAGATTTAAAATAAGAAAACACAATTGCATCTCTTATTTCAAGTGAATACTATCTAATTATCTGATTTTTAGAGTAAAAATGCTGACTCTCATTTACCTACTCAAATGAAGGGTAAATACACTTAATTTAAGAAATTTTTACTTATTTCTAGATCGTTTTTCGAGTGTATAATCACTGAAGTCCATTTCCTGAATGCAGAAATTTTAAGACAAACTCATAGAGATGATTTTTGTTCAGTTTTTTTTCTATGTGTTTAAATCTTCTATTTCCTTTCAGATGAAGAGAATTAAAGTGGAGTTTCCTTCTTCGACCAAATCAACCTTCATCTTTCTCACAAAAACCACCATTTAATTCCCTTTGAAACTCAATAAAGACAAGTTGGACAAATGATTTGAATGTGTCACATTTCTTTTCCTGTTTCCTACAGAAATGTATAAATTCATACTGTATAAATATACTGCACCTCCAGGCCCATAAGAGGTTTTTAAACAACCATCCGGATGTTTCAGAGGAACGGGAGATGGTCATGTGGTACTGCTTCAATATGATGATGCAATATCATATTGGAAATAAGTTCTATTAAAGAATAATGGAGGCTGCTGTGCTCAGTGAAAACTTCCAAGCAACAGAAATGTCTGTATCCTTCCCTGTAGAGTCCTGTCAGGTTTTCAGGAAATTCCTTTGACTTTTCAAGCCGCCATAATATGGTGCTGCGTGCAGAATTTTGAGGAAAGATAAATGTAATATATTTCATTAAGTTTAATTTGTGAAAGTTGCAAAATTGCAGCGCTGTGATTATTTTCTAGATTATCATTATACATTAGGTTAGTCATTGTTGGTGGGAGAGTAGAATTTAAAAGGTGAAACTGGAGGACAATATTTCCACGAACCATGACCTCAACCTGAATACAGCAGATTGTTTTTCCTAGATCCTCTTCCTTCACCTTTCCTGGGTTCAACAACAGTAAGGACACGTGTGTGTGTGTGTGTGTGTGTATATATATATATACATATTTGACGCATGAAAGCCTGAAGACTAAATTTGACTTTTAAAAATCCAATACCAAAATCGGCCACAGGATGGCAAAAGTGCGTCTATATCTGCCAGCCACATTTCTTTTGATATCCACTTTTACTGCTAAGCATTCTTGGAGCTCAGCAAGCAGAAGCAAGCGCCTGGTTGACCTAACTTCCTGCAACAACTGCTAAATGGCTCGCCATCTTGCCCTGTCTTCTCCTAACCTGACTCCGCCAGATGGATTTGCTCCGCATATCCATCTGGAAACCTTCCGTTGAAGTAATTTTGGGAAGGGGCGAAAATACTGGTTAGCTGATTGGCCTATGTTGGTGATAGACGGGCCAAATAAACCAATCAGATCAACGAAGCATATGACGTACTAACAGAGCCACGACGAAAACACAAGCCAGGCTACTCTTGCCGAAACCAGTCGGGAGAAGAGCAAAAACATCTTTTCCTCTGAGAAAAGCCTCCAGAGCAGTGTTTTGCTCTTCTTTCAGTGAAGAAATACTCTGTAATCCCGATAAAACTTGCTCGATAGCCACGCTAACGCTAGTTTCATCGGCTGAAGCCGCCATGTTCTTTAGACTGAACTGTCGCGCTTCTCGTTGCGTCACACCTCAACCCGCCTCAAAGCCAACGCTGATTGGACGTTCGTTTGGTGAACGGCTCCAAATTTTCTTTAACGGAGAGTCTCCAGACTGACTAGCGAGTGAAACCTTGAAAGCTTGCGAGATCAGGATGGTCTCACCAGGCTAGTCTTCTCCAGCCATGCTCAGCACCATTTATTTTAGAGACCTTTATCTATGGTCGTGACATCTTCCCTGGAGTTCATGAACTGCATTGTGCCCACTCCATGCCACTCCATTTCTTTCACTTATGCAGATGCTCCGTTCCTCTGGTCCGGTGCAGAGGATGCAAGGTGTTGCCCATGATGGATGTAAGCTTGGACAGAACCCTCCCCTCAGTCACCACTTCCACTGAGTCCAGGGCTCCGCCTAGGACAGAATAATGAAAATCAACAAATGTTCTAATGGAAGTCAATACGAGAGTCCAATCTGGGACTACAGCCTTCCAAAGAAGAAAAAACCCAAACAAAAGAAATGTTTAAAAAACCCAAAAGAAATGAAGGTGTGTACATTTGAAGAAACAACGTTGAGAGGTCCCTATGCTAAATGAACTAAGATAGGAAGCATCCTTCTTCCTTTTCCCGACTCCTTCTTACTGCCAGCACTATTCTGCTTTGGCTTAAGATTCCTTAACAAATTGATGAATTTGGATGGACCTATGTCTCTTAATATATTCCATGTTTTCTTCCATATTATACGCTTTGATGACGGAGAAAAAAGGCAGAGCAGGAATGCACAATATATGGGACAGGTGGGCTCAGCCATTAACCTTCCTTTACAATCAGGTCACATATTATCGTGTTTTATATAGAGAGTAAATGGCAGGTTGTGTAGTTTAAAGGCATATTTAACCCTGTAAAGCCAAATGTATCATATTTGATACATACGGTTTCTGAAATGTTTTGCGTCTGACACCTTTTGCATAATTTAATGGTAAAAACTTTGCTCAAAATCCTGTTGTACACAATCAGATATACCTGATAACAGAGGGCAGAAGACTACACAAAAAACAACCTTGACTTATAGCATAGAAATAAACTATTAATATCAAAAATGTATTTCTGTTTTTTCTTTTTACATATTTTGTTAAAAGGCCAAATAAGGACTTCAAACCAAAAAAAAAGTAATTTTGTGTTTTGTTTTATTCTTGAATCGGGCTTTAAAGGGTTAAGAATTAAACAAACAAACATAAGGTCTCAGATCCTGAGATAAAAATGCAGAAAACTATTTTTTGTAATTTCTTTTGGGTTAAAAGTATTAATAGTCAAGCTAACATCAAAGATTAAAGGTTTTTTAAGTGAGAGCTGAGGGTGCACCACCTACTGACAGCCAGAAGATGGTGCTGTTGAACTTCTCAGGCTGTAATGCTGCTCCATGTGTGGAATCTTCTGAAGAACAGGATGTCAAGTCAAGGAGGAGTAAGAGGAGGAGGACATGCTGGGACTGGCAGGTCGGCCAGAGGTGGAGCCACAGAGACAGGAACCTGTTTGAAGGATTCAGAACCTGAGAAAAACTGGATCAGGATGTTTGGCTCCAACTTCTGCTGCAGGTAAAACCATCTCTCTCCCTCTTTGGATTCACTAGGAAAGTACTGTAGGAAGATTCTGTGGGAATGGACTGGCATCTAAATACTAATAGGAAGTTCTTTCTTTTTTTATTTTTATTTTTTATTATTATTATTTGAATCCAGACAGCTGAGTGTGAAATTAGGGTTCTGCTGAGGAAAATCTGTGAAGATCTGCTCTCTGGTCTGGTTTACAGAGACTGGGCTGCTGCTGAGCTGCAGGTCGGTTTCTGGGTCTGGGTGTGTTTAGGTCAAAGAAAAAAAAAAAACACCCTGTTCTGATTTCAGACCCACCCTGAGGCTGAACATGTTTCACTTTCCTAGAGAAACCCTCTGTTTCTCCAGAAACATGTTGGACCTGAAGATCAGGAAGATGTCATGCGCTTTATGTGGTCAGGTGTTGTTTACCTCTGAGTTTATCTGGGACATGGCAACCGTGTGAAAGATCAGGAGAGTAACCAGACAGAAATCGTTTCTCTGTTTCTATCCAACACTTTGAAATCCTGAAGGCAGCAGAAGAAGAAACCATGAAGTTCTGCTGCAGTGGGTTCAGCCTTCTAAGACATGAGAAACTCAGACAACAATGACGGGTATTACTGGTTGAGTTTCTGAGGGATCTTTGAAGAACTTCAGACTTTAAGATCCTCCTTTCCTCCTAAACGGGTCAATCTTCTTTGCTCTGGCAGAAGAAACCCAAACATTTCAAACCAGACCCAAATCTGTGTATCATAGAATATATGAATGGCCTTCATTGATCCATCTGAACCTCCACCAAAGCTGCTCCTTCTTGGTTCTAATTTCATTGATTGTCTCTAGTTCCTCCTTCAGGACCCTCTGATTTAAGGTCCAGCCAGGTTCTACTGGTGAATCCAGTTCTGAACCAGTTCACCATCAGACCTTTAAAGAATCAGTGTTATTATCTTCCACAGCAAAGCAAGTCAAGTTATTTATAAATCACCTTTAGTCACGAGAAACTTCAAATTACCGTACCTGAAAGAACATATTAGAAAAGCACACAGAGAAACGTACATTGTATTGACGTAGGGGTAATTAAATGATTCATTCGAGACAGTAAAATAAATACGGAAAATGATAAAATGATGTTAAAATATGAATAAAAATAAATGTTTTAAATCTGAATTTAAAGCAACTGAGGGTTTCATGGGTGACAGTGACAACGGATGTAGATGTTCGCTCTGCAATCGGAGGGTTGCTGGGTTGAGCCCCGGCTCCAGCTTTCAGTGGTGTTGTGTCCTTGGGCAAGACACTTCACCTGCATTGTCTACTGATGGTGGTCAGAAGGCCTGATGGCGCCAGTATATGGCAGCCTGGCTTCTTAGGGCAGCTGTGGCTACAATGTAGCTTGTTATCATCAGTGTGTGAGTGTGTGCGTGAATGGGTGAATGACTGAATGTAGTGTAAAGTGCTTTGGTCAAGTCTCCTGAATTGAAAAAGCGCCATATAAGTACAGGCCATTTACCATTTTAACAGGTTTCTGAGATTTTGTTCAAGTTTAGTGGGGCATGTTTGGTTCTGGATCTGGTAATACAGAGCAACTGAAGGAGACCTGAGAGCTCTGGGTGGTTGATACACTGATAGCAAGTCATTGGTGTTAAGACATTCATTGATTTCTAGACTAATAGAAGGATTTTAAAGTCTATTCTCTGAGCTACGATAAGCCATTGGAAGGACTTTAGAATTGGGCTGATGTGCTCGAATTTCTTAGCTGTAGTGAGGACGCAGGCAGCAGCATTCTGGATCCACTGTTTAGGCAGTGAAGACACCACTGCAGGGAGATGTTCTTGAAGTGATAGAGAGCCGACTTTGTTCCTGTCTTTATGAGCCTCTGGAGATTCAGGTCTGAGTCCATCAATAAACCCAGATTTAAAGCCTGATTGCTGGTTTCTGGCCGGATTAACTGAAGCTTGTTGCTTACTGTTAAACACTCTTCCTTTGTTTCTAAAGTTATAATTTCAGTTTTGTTTTGATTCGACTGGAGATAACGTTGACCATAAATGCGTTGATTTCTCTGATGCATTTACCCAGTGCTGGAATGGGTTTATAGTCACTGGTGTCATTGTAATGTACAATGTATGTCGTCTGCATAGTTATGGTAACTTAGGAAGAGCATGTTGAATGAGAGGGTCCCTAAGATGAACTCCTGAGGAACACCGATCCT